GCTTGCGCTCGGCCTCGGCTTTCCGGCTGCCGCTGCCCGGCCGGCTCCTCGCCACCGTCTGCTTTCGGGACATGGCCCTGACCCGCGTCCCGCAGCGGCAGCGGGAGAAGCGGCGGGACCGCCGGGCGGCAGGAGCGGCGCGGGGAACAGCCCGGCGACGGCAGGGAGGCTCCTGCGCCTGCGCGGGCGTCGGGCACCCTGGTCACGTGATAGAATCACACCCACGCACGCACACACACATTCACACCTCACTTCAGAGGAGGTCTGTCAGGCAGGTGCCATAGAGAGAAGCCGGGAGGGGTAGAGAGGCACGCAGCTGGTTGGTTCTCTTCCCCCCTCTAGTGGTGGGCGGTGAGCAGCTGGTGGAACCGGAGGAAACCAAACCGGAAGAGGAGTTGGATGTTAAGTGTGGGAGAGGAGAGAAGCAGTACAAGTTAGTAAAACAGGGAGAATTAAAGGGAAAGGGGTGCCGGGCGCGGGTGGCTCCCGCCTATAATCCAAGCTACTCAGGAAGCTGAGATCTGAGGATCTGACAGCCTGGACAGGAAAGTCCATGAGACTCTGACCTCCAGTTAACCACCAAAATGCCAGAAATGGAGCTGTGACTCAAATGGTAGAGCACCAGCCTTGAGAGAGAGAGAGAGAGAAAAAAAACTCAGGGATAATCCCTAGGCCCAGAGTTCAAGCCCCCTAGGCCTTCTCGCAGGACTCATTGTTGGATTACTCTGAAATTCCAGCAAACAACCCAAGAAGTTAAGTAATCGCAAAAAAAAAATCAGAGGCAAAGCTTTGCTCAAATTCCAAAGCCAAGATACTTTATTTAATGCTGCACTCTCCAGCTCTCCATCTTCTCTCCTAACTCCAGGGAGAGGTACTTGTTCTGCCCAAGAATACTGCTTCCTCCCCTAACGGTTTGATTGGACTACAGATGTTCTGTACAAGCAGAAGCTTGGGTTGTAAAGCTGAGACACACCTGGGGAAGAGCCAGGAAAAGTGTGTCCCTGGAGAAATGAAAGGGATGAAGATTCCTCAGTAAGAAAGAACGTGGTGAGGGGAATTCTTGACTTGACTTCGCAGTTTCCACCCCAATCATAGGAAATCGCAACCCATGGTGGAAAGCATTTCAAGTGAGAGAGAGGAAACTGTTAGATAGGGATAAAGAGTGGCATAACATGTGGTGGGTAATACATCCCATCATGGCACTTCTTGTTCCCATAGTGCCTTGGGCCCTTGCTAACATACTTCTTCCCATTATGCCCTGGGTGCCCACTCAACCAAGAAAAAAAGCCCAGGCAGCACAAGCCATCAAGCAATCAGGACAAAGCCCAGGGAAGAAATATGGAAAGGGCTCTATATGGTAATTGTTAGAGAAACGAGTCCCTTCCCATAGCTTAGTCCATTCTTTCCCTTTTCCACAGCTTAGCATGCTCCCTTCCTAAGCAACACTAGGCCCATTTGGTAAAGGCAGTAAATAATCAACTTCCAACCCCCTTTACCTTGGGATGGCACTTCTCTGGGGAAGCTACCACCATAGAAGGCAACAAGAGCCCCTTAGAGTGACCTTCAGGTCTGGGCAGTTGCAGGACCCTTATCTACTATTTGGACAGCAGCCATAAATCCTAGTCCTCCATGATGAAGCCCCTGGCCCACACGTCCACACAGGATCTCTGCCTCCTAGCCCCTTCTAGCCCCCCCTAAACCTCCTAGGTTATATAGATCATCTCAGCCAATAGCCGGGGCTTCTTTTCATTCCTCCCTTGTGAGAAGGAGTCTTGCCGGCCCCCTTTCCCAGCAATAAATCTTTTTGTGTTCTCAGTATCTCGATGTCTGCGATGTCTGCATGATTCTCTAGAAAAGTCTATTAATCTTAATTTTGCTAAGAGTAATAATTACCCTCTGAGAGGACTCTGTTACACTCCTCTTGGAGAGTTCTGCTATGTTTTTTTTTGGGGGGGGGGTCCGGTTGTGGGGCCTGAACTCTGGGCCTGGGCGCTGTCCCTCAGCTCTTCAGCTCAAGGTTAGCGCTCTACCACTTGAGCCACAGCACCACTTCCAGCTTTTTGCTTATGTGGTGCTGAGGAATCGAACCCAGGGCCTCATGCATGCAAGGCAAGTGCTCTACCACTGAGCCATCTTCCCAGCCCTGCTATGTTTCTTTCAAGGCTTTCCTTTCGTTTTCAAATAAACTTACTCCTTTTACCTTAAACATCTTCCTGCCTTTTAATTCCTTAATGGATAAGAGAAAATGACTCCATCTCCCTAGAAGGTATCAAAGGGGATCTCACAAAAAAAGAAACCCATAAAGTTTTTTGTTGTTGTTGTTTTTGTTTGTTTTCCTGTCCTAGGGGTTGAACTCAGGGACTGAACACTGCCTCTCAGCCTCTCTGTGCTCAAGCTAGTGTTCTACCGCTTGAGCCACAGCACCACTTCTGGCTTTTTCTGCTTATGTGGTGCTGTAGAATCAAACCCAGGCTTCATGCGTGCTAGACAGGCACTCTACCACTGAGCCACATTCCCAGCCCACCCATAAAGTTTGAACAAGGATATATTTAGCAAAGTAGAAATAAGTAAAGAGAGGGAAAAAAAAATGAAAGAGGATCAAAGAGGTTCAAAATGGCTCTCCTTATCCCAGGACTATTTGTACCTTTTGAGCTGGGGGATTCTTGTTTGAACTCCTACGTAGATACTGGGCATATTATCTAAGAACCCTTCATCTTTTTTGTGAAGTTCAAATTGCCTGTAAACAATAGGTTTAGGGTGTGTCTGTTATCCAAACTGAGGATGCCGGTGGCATAGGACTGGCCTTTTTTTTTTTTCTTTTTATCGGTTGTGGTGCTTGAACTCTGGGCCTGGGCACTAACCCTCAGCTCTTCAGCTCAAGGCAAGTACTCTACCACTTGAGCCACAGTGTCACTTCCAGTTTTCTGGCAGTTTACTGGAGATGAGTCTCACAGACTTTCCTGCCCAGGCTGGTTTGAACCTTGATCCTCAGACCTCCGCCTCTTGAGTAGCTAGGATTACAGGCATGAACCACTGATGACTGGACTTCCTATTACTCAAAACATCGAGCTCCGTTAGGCACTGGTGGCTCACACCTGCAATTCTAACTACTCAGCAGGCTGAGATCTGAGGATCACGATTCAAAGCCAGCCCAGGCAAGAAAGTCTGTGGGACTCTTATCCCCAATTAATCACAGAAAAATCAGAAAATAGTGCTGTAGCTCAAGTAATGGAGTGCTAACCTTCAGCAAAAGGAGCTTAGGGATTGCAGCCAGGCCTTGAGTCCAAGAACGAGAACCAGCAAACACACACACACACACACACACACACACACACACACACACAAAGCCAATGGGTATAACATTCAAGACATTCCTTTCTGGTCGAGAAATTTCTTAGCTAGAGGCTGGTGATTCACTTCTGTAATCCCAGCTACTCAGGAGGCTGAAATCTGAAGATAGAGGTTCAAAGCCAGTGCTGGCAGGAGAGTCTGAGAGACTCTTCTCTCCTATTAACCAGAAAAAGTAGGCAGCAGAGGCAGATCCTTGAGCAAAAAAGCCAAGGGAAAGGATGAGGGTTTAAGTTCAAATTCCAGTACCAGCACAAAGGGGAAAAAGATATTTACGTCTATTTTCAAATTAAAATATCAGTATAGGAAGATTGCAACTCAGCATCTAAACGAATAGAGGATAGACGGAAAGAAGGCTCCATGCTCTTAGTGACTTCCACATTTCCTGATTGTCTTAATTCCTACATCTGGCTAAACTTCTAATACCTTTTGCCTAATTTTTTCTGTCACTTTACAGTCCTCTTTATCCTGCTTGTACACACCACACCAACCTACTCTGGCATTTAACTCCATTAGTGATCTCCTTCGATGAATCCAAGTCTGAAAACACAAAACTTAATCCCTAATTTCACAGCCTACGTACCAGTTTGTTAGGACTGCTAAACAACCTGGGTCCTTACATCTAGCTTGAGAAGAATTCAGGTAAGATGTAAACATAAGTAAAGATGATAGAAAAGCTTATTCAAAAAGAGAAATATAGCCGGGCACTGGTGGCACATGCCTATAATCCTAGCTACTCAGGAGGCTGAGATCAGATGATCACAGGTCAAGGTCAGCCAAGGGGAAGAAAAGTCTCATCTCCAATTAGCCACAAGAAAACTGGAAGTGGTACTGTGGCTTCTTGTGGTAGAGCACTAGCCTTGAGCAAAAGAGCTCAGGGATAATGCCTAGCCCCTGAGTTTAAACATTTAAGCCCTAGGACAACAATAACAACAACCAGAGAGAGGGGGAGAGGAGAGGAGAGGAGAGAGAGAGAGAGAGAGGAGAGAGGTGGAGGTGAGACAGACAGACAGACAGACAGACAGACAGACATGCCACAGGGAGAGAGCACTTTAACCTAAGTTGACCATCTTGGCTGTCTTCGGCCATCTTCCTTGATGCCAAGCTTGCCCTTGGGTTAAAGAGTAAGAATTGAATGGCTTTCTGGTGGTCAGGTCTCCCTTCTGTTTCCTGTAAGGTGGTGATACCAAAGATTTACTGTCCTGTCCTTATTTCCTCATTTTTGGTAACCCCTGGTCCTCATTTGGTAGTCAGGTAGCTTTTGTTTTATCAGCTTATTATGCCATCTTCAAGTTTTGTTTCGTTGTTGTTGGGTGGAGGTTTTGTGCTGGTCCCCAGGCTTAAACCCAGGGCCTAGGCTCTGTCCTTGAACTTCTTTTGCTCAAGGCTAGTGCTCTATCCACTGGAGCCACAGCTCCACTGGGCTTTTTAGCAGTTAATTGGAGATAAGAGCCTCACAGACATTTCTGCCCTGGCTTGCTTCAAACCATGATCCTCAGACCTCAGCTTCTCTGAGAAGCTAGGTAATGACAGGCATGAGCCACGCCCCCCCCCCCTCATCTTCACAGGCCACAATTCTCTGATTAGCTGGTTTTCTACTAACTTGCATTACCTTCTTCTCCCTCATCTACCTTCTTTAACCCTTCCTCTTCCCACAATAACACTGAATCCTTTGAACCATCTAATCAGGCTCTTTGACCATCCTATGTTCCTAATGATCCTGCCTTCAATGATCTTATTTTTTAGATCAGAGCTGACACTCCATGCTTTTATTTTATGGTTCATTGGC